GAGCCTCCGCCGCCTCCTTCCGTAGCGCGCTCGTCCTTTTTGGCTGGACTTTTGCACTCCTGCGCGGCGGCCGCCACAGAAGCGCGATGCTTCCGCTCCCGTTCAGCGGAATTCTTGCGGTCGCGCTTTTCGTTCTGACCCCGCTCCAGGCTGCCCCTGCGCGATTCCCGGACAGGCGAGGGTCGCTCCAACAGGAGCAAACGGGAGGAGGAGCGCTCGGGGTCACTACTGTAACGCTCCCGCCCTCCAAGGAGCTCAGGGCTGCGGTCCGGGGGAGAGGTTGTGGCTAAACAGTGACGCTTACGGGAGGAAGAAGAGCGCTCGCTGTCCGGAGAGCGGTCCAAGTGCCGGCCTCCATCCTCCGCCAGTCTCCGTTTCCTAGGCTGATCCCTACTACTACTGCCCAATTCCCTCTCCCCTCGGTCCCGCTCCAAGGACCAACCATCCCGGCGGCGCTCCAGGCTTTCCAGTGGGTCATAGGCAGCGGCCCGATTACTCCCATCCCGTACAGGGGGTGGGGGGGGCACCCACTCTGTCTCAGGATAAAGGTCTCTGTCGCGGTCTCTATAGAGTAACGGTGGCGTCCTGTCCCGGGCCCCCCGAAGAGGATCAGGTGGGGCTCCCCGGTGAGCCCCAAAAGCAGCCGCCTCCGCCACGAGCTCGTAATGAGCAGGGGGTGGCAAGGGCAGAGGTTGCAGGTAGGGCTGCTGGTACCGATGCTCCGTGTCAGCAAAGTCTACGCGGAGGCGGCGATCTGGCCCACCCAAGGGAAAACCACGCATGTGGGTGCACGCAGCCTGCGCCGCGTCCAAGCTCTCGTACTGGATATAGGCCCAGGAATCACCTTTGCGGTAATCGATAGTGCGAATGGTGCCAAACCGATCAAACTCCCTGGCCAGGGCAGCGAGGGGCACCCAGGGCCCAAGGCCACCCACCCAGAGCCTGGTAGTCGGAGTGGCTTTCCCATACCCAATCTTGATGGGGTTACGCAGAAGCACCTTTCCTGACATGGCCAGCTTGGCCCGGTGCGCCATGTCCAGATTTTCAAATTTAAGAAAACCATACGTGCTGGTCTGCCCGCGCCCCGGCCTTTTGATGTCCACCTCAGTAATGACCCCAAAACGGTCAAAAGCTCGGCGTAAATCTGACTCGCTCACGGTGATGTCCAGGTTGCCCAGGAACAACGTGCGGTTGGCTCTCTGGTCATCCTCGGGGCTGATCTCCTCCTGG